TCGGCTGTTTTCTGATGGGGCTAATTCACCCAGGCCGGCTATGTTGTCTATATGCAATCAGGGATTAGCACATAAAAGCTCCCAAAGACCATGAAGACCCCCAAAACCCACAGTTTTGGGCATGCTATGGAGGCTACAGGTTTGGGTTGTCTCCTTCAGGCGTGGAGAGGACGGCATTCTGTCATTCATCACTGTGGCCCCTGGCACAGGCAGGGTCATGCTCCAGGTGTACATACATCATCTGTACGGTTTTATTCGTTCTGTGGAAACCCTACGTGAATGTGTGAGCGGCGCCAGAGAACGGTGGTATTCATACTGAAATGTTTGAGGTTCGGAGAGTAGCTAGAGTTACTCTCCAAGCAGAGGAAAATAGACAGCAACCTTTTTTGTCTCCCTCCTCTGAAAAAAACGGACATCTACTCTTCTACCTACTATTACGAATGACCACCGAGACAAGGGCTACTCTCCAAGCAGAGGTTGGGAAGAATTGTGACCTTTTTTCATATGCCCTCTATTTCTAGAGGAGGGAGGACAAAAAACGGGCAATGTAGAGGTACTCTTGTCTTGGTATTCCTTCGTAATTGACGACTAGCTAGGCCTGAATTTGAAAAAAAAAAATAAAATCATAGTAAAACGCTGAACTTCATTCCAACAGACAGATTATACAAAGATCAAATTTTCAGCGACCACTGTCGCCTTCATCAGGATAATTAATGACCAATCACTTCAAAACGTAAGTTCAACGTTTTACTATTATTATTACCAACACAGATGAACTTTCGTGATAAAAATCAAAATCAACAACCGGAAATAGAGTCAGCCCCATGTCTGCACGTCGTCTGTTCCTGTATCTCCTTATCCATCTTACTAGCGGGTCCGCAGCGGCAAGCCTACCCGGAGGAGGTCATAAACAGCCCGGGCTGCCGGTATGTTTCCATCACGACGGAGACAGCCGCTGGTCCCGGGGCAGATTTTATCATGTGGAGATTGTGACGAGATTTAATACTGTGATGCTCACCCGCTGGTCATGCCGAATGGGTGCGTGTATGTTGTTAAACTTTTTTAAATTATTACTTTTTATGTGTAACGCACTACACTCGAATACAATATCGCACTTTAAGAACGTGTTAAAATTACTGAAGGTGTCGCAAACTTTTTAAAATTATTACTTTTATGTGTAACGCACTACACCCGAATACAGTATCGCACTTTACTACACCTTTAGTAATTTTAACACGTTGTTAAGCGTTATAAAATTATTAGTTTTTGTGTATGTATGCGCCAAGAGTTGTTAAACTTTTTAAAATTATTACTTTTATGTGTAACGCACTACACTCGAATACAATATCGCACTTTAAGAACGTGTTAAAATTACTGAAGGTGTCGCAAACTTTTTAAAATTATTACTTTTATGTGTAACGCACTACACTCGAATACGATATCGCACTTTAATAACGTGTTAAAATTACTGAAGGTGTCGTAAACTTTTTAAAATTATTACTTTTATGTGTAACGCACTGCAATAGAATACAACGTCGCACTTTACGACACCTTTAGTAATTTCAACATGTTGTTAAACTTTTTAGAATTATTACTTTTATATGTAACACACTACAGTCTACGCTCGAATACAATATGATATGCCGAAGGGGTGCATGTATGAGCAAAGGGTTGTTAAAATTTACAAATGATTCCTTTTTATAAGTAACGCACTACACTCGAATACGATATCGCACCTTACGATAACTTTAGTAATTTTAATGTGTGGATATGCCGAAGGGGTGCATGCATGCGCATGAGTTGTTAAAATTTACAAATGATTACTTTTAAACGTTACACACTACACTCGAATACAATTTCGCACTTTAAGACAATTTTAATATGTGGACATAATATGAGAAGAAGCTGTGACTAGTAATTTTAACACGTTGTTAAACTTTTAAAAATGATTCCTTTTTATATGTAACGCACTTCACTGGAATACAATATTGCACTTTACGATACCTTTACGATAGTAATTTTAACATGTGGATATTATACGAGAAGAAGCTGTGACTATCAGTGTAGAGGGAATTGCTCTCTTTATTATTTTATGTGTGATGTTCAGTGGGGAATGGTGATGTGTTATCAGTATACTCGTAATAATCTCTGTCAATCAAATCGGCATGATTTTGATTGATAAAATTTACATGCATTTTTACGAAGTTGTCCTGGAACACTTAAAGCCAAAACTGCCATGTTAATGGGTTGTCTCTTTGGGGGCAATAAAATATGATGACGTCATCCATATGGTCCATAAAGTCATTTTCACAACCCTTTTGCATCCAGGTATCAATATTCAGTACAACTATTGTTCTTTCTAAATTTCTTTGTGACAAAACGATGGAAGGTTAAAATGCCAAATTAGCCAGTGAGGAAGCCTTAAGCACAAATGTTAGACTTTGCACTTTCTCAATTGTATAAGGTTCTTTATGATGATGATGAATGAATTTTGAATTTGTGAATACGGTTATGTTGGGGATTGCTATACTATGTTTCAGAGGAAATTGAGCTCGTTTACCCAGCCGTGTATCATCTTGTAATAACGTAAGATTCGGGGCACCCGAGGTTTTGCTTGCTGAAGGGAAATTGGCTTTCTGAATCAAAAATGACATATGGGATAATATATTGTTATAGGTGCTTCAAGCGTTCCCGTCGTTCTGCCATTATCAAGTCACTTCCAGCGGCAGTTTGCTGAAACCGTAGACGTAATCTCACCCCCTGACGTAATGGATGTATTCCTGATGTATGAAGCACAGACGAAAGGTCTGGTGCACCGCCCGGGCCCTCAGGCTTGCTGAGGAGGTTCTCTAGAATCTGGTCCGACTGATCATGGAGAGACAAGGTTACACAAACCTATGCCAGCTAAATGTCAGATGCCGTTGATATAAGGCCACAGCAAGTAATTTTTATGGATGATAATTTTGAAAAAAAAAAAACAAGAAATTTTGTTGCCCTCTGACAGTCGTCAATATGCCGAAAATTTGCAAGAATTCGAATGTCTGTTGCCATGCACCGCCCTGGCCCTCAGGCTTGCTGAGGAGGTTCTCCAGAATCTGGTCCGACTGATCATGAAGAGACAAGGTCACAAATCTATACTAGCTAAATCTCAGATGCCGGTGATATAAGGCCACAGCTAGTAAATTTTATGGATGACAATTTTCTCCGCAGACTCCAAATCTAATGCGATAGGACTCAAAAACAAGGCGGGCCAAAAAATCCTACATTTTGAAATGTTGACATCATATCAGAATCTGGTCCGACTGATCATGAAGAGACAAGGCTACAAACCTATGCCGGCTAAATCTCAGATGCCGTTGAAATAAGGCCACAGCAATTAATTTTTATGGATGATAATTTTGAAAAAAAAAGAAGAAATTTTCTTGCCCTCTGACAGTCGTCAACATGCCGATAATTTGCAAATATGTCTGTTGCCATGCCGGAACGTGGATGGCAGATAAATATGAAGAGAGGAGACAAGGCAATACTCCGATTTTTTGTTTTGACTTTTACTTTGATGCAGTGATGTATTTTCATTTCTTTTATATGTGATCTTCACCGAATCAAAACCATTTGTACAATGATTGAAAACTTTTATTTTTCAGTCACAAATGGATATTGTAATATGTAGCAGCAAACGTAGCACAATATACATGTATGTACAATTTCTTGTTTAACAAGGTTTACGATGTCAAAATTTGAAAATGTCGGAAATTTTTTTTGGTCCGCCTTGTTTTTTTTCGCCCTATAGCATTAGATTTGCAGTTTACGGAGGACGTCATCCATAGAATTTACTTGCTGTGGCCTTAGGTACATGTGGGCAATGTTAACATTCACGGGAAGCAATGTTCGGTTTCCTGATCCACCTTTTTGGGATGAATATTACATTCGGCCTTCCCTGCGCGATATGAATATGGCGAAACCATTTACCTGGCTGTAGTGTGATGTATGCTACGTGCCTTCACACAATTCACGGTCTGTCTGAGTGTGTGAAGCTAACCGCAGCAGCACAGTTTGTCATACACCGCCTCCAGCAAACTCCAACTGTCAGACACGTAATGTATTCATTCCTCATGTTGTTGTCTTAGGGCACGGTCACATTTCCAAGCCGGGGCCCGGCCGGGCAGCTTTTTGGAACGAAAAATACGATATGAAAGGCAATAAAACGCAGAAAAGTTCTTAGTAACAATCATGGGCACTATTTCTGTATATTCTTGATATGAATTGTTAGTTTTTCGTTCATACAAGCAGCCCGGCCGGGCCCCGGTGTGGAAATGTGACCTAAGCTTTAGGGCCCGTCCGGGTTGTTTGCGTGAACGAAAAATAAGCAATTTGTATGAAGAGTATACACAAGTAGTGCTCATTGTTTTGATTTTCTAAAGCTTTTTCCGTGTTTTGCTGTCTTATATCATAATTTTCGTTCCATACAACTGCCCGGCCGGGCTCCAGGTTGGGAAATGTGACCGCGCCTTTACATACATTCGTCGCTTTCAGACGACCTCTCTTCAGACGAGTGTCTCTTCTAAACAGCACAAAAATGTGAAAGCACCGCAGGTTTGACTGACCGCTACTTCCGTGTAACCCAGGAACTGACTGATTTATGATGATATATTTACTTATGATTACTGTACTTCTATGTTTAACTTAATGGCCTTGAGTGATACAAGGTATTATTGCAAATATTCAAACTCATTGAGCCGAAGTGTTTAATCTGTCGATTCAGACGTGATTGTAATTTGTATTAATAACCCTACTATTAATGATTTATAATTTATGTTATAAACAAGCATCGGAATTCAGCCCTGTCACGACAGCGAGTTATGCTGTTGTTGATACAAATAAACTAACCAATAAAGAGTGAAGACCACAGTCACACAAGGAAAAACGGCAGATACATTCGTGTAAAACACTCTACAGAAATATTCCATTTATTAAAATAGATGTTGAAAAATGACGATGGTTCAAAGTGTACAAATGCGTGAACGTGAAACACAGTCTCTTCTAGTTGCCACAGTTGGAAAGCGTAGATACCAACACAACGTATTCTACGGCCACTTTGTAAGAGTGGTAATGCAATGGGTATCGATATCTTTTCTTTTTATTTATTTTCTTGACGTTGATGATTTACTTCGTGAGTATGACAAAAACACCAGAATGAACGTGACGTCTGAACTATGTGATATGGGATCTAATTATAAAGGTCTTCAGTCTGTAGATATTGCAGCTCCACCATCCTATGCACGCCCCATGGCAATCCAACCACCATTCCGTCCGGCGCTTCATCGCTAGTGTTGTACAGAATTGTACGAAATGCCCTCCTTTGGCCCCACTACACTTGTGTTTGTGAGTTAGTCTTATACAGCTCGAAGCTCTCCAATGTATCCATAGTATCCATCGTATTTACCATCGGCATCTAAGAAATATAGACAAGTATTTCTTCAGCAACCACGTACTGCATGTGAATGGGACGAAATTCCTGTGAAATCTTAAAGGTGTGCAATTCCTCTATGTTACACACGACAATGTCGTCATGTAGAATACACACAGGACATGTTAGCATTGTGGCGTAAGTGAAGAATATATCAAACTACTCTGATGTGAATTACGTTCCACGTCACGTCACTGTGTAGGTGGCTCACAGAAACAGAACACCATCGCCCATCTAAATCAGAGCATAGTTCAAACGACCTAGTTGAAACACAGAAGAAACGAGCCACACGGGAAAAATACAAAGCAGCTTAAAGAAAACTAGTAGGCTTTCCATGGCACAATATTGATTTTGATTTCGTTCAAAGGAAGCTGCTACAAAGTTTCGCTATTCTAAAGACTAAGCTATGAAAAATAAACGATAAAGGCAAAATGCTGTATTTGTAATACAATGAATTTTGGTCACTTCGAGCCTTTTCGTTAATGATACACACCAATCACCAAAAATCTGGTTGGAATGATTGACATTAGAATGCTAATGTCCACCGATTTACATATTACATGTATACAAATGTAATTTTCATGTCCAATGCCTCATACCGTATTGCATCGCATCTCTGCTTGAGTTTCTGTGTCATATGAGGTCTACAAAACATCTCAGGACCTTGAATGTCATTTTCAGAGAACGCATTCCAGCTTGTTCTCGCCAACTTTGGTTCAATACATACATCAACGTCCTCCCACACTATAAAGACCCAGGGGACGTCATATACCAAAGTTTTTTCTATCTGCAGTTATGTATAGGTCATTTCATAGAGACTTACTCCGCTCGGTCTGGTGATGGGTACGGATGACATGGACTTCGGGAACGGGTCGGTCGGCGAGGGCACTCTTCCGTTTTCTCCCTTGATGGACATCCGTGCTTTTACCTTCATGGCGGCAGAGAAAGACGTCTGTGCGCGTGCAGAAAACAGAAACAACAACAACATACAGTGCACACGCAGATGTAGAATATATGTATATATGGTCAAGTAACACAAATGTGATGAACATGTGAACAAACCCTCTGAATTATCTGCATCCTCACTCAACGCTTATCATGAACAAACCTTTTGTATATGTCCTTGAAGGTTAGACATCCAGGTAATATATCATACGCCAAAAACAGTTACTCAAGCAACTGGATGTGGTTTTGGAAACGGCCAGACGTTTCAGGTAGCATCCACTACCTTTCGTCGGTGACACTGGAATATTGTCAGAAACGTCTACCTGAAACGTCTGACCGTTTCCAAAATCATATTCAGTTACTCAAGAAACTGCATATGATTTTGAAAACTGTCAGACGTTTCAGGTAGCATCCACTACCTTTCGCCAGTGACACTGGAGAGTTGTCAGGAAAGCAGGTTTCTGTATAACCTTCTGTATACTAGATATTCTGCTCACCGTTGCCTAATTGATTTTTTTTTCAAAACTAGCTTTCGGTAATGAGACGTTACTCGCAATTTCTGCAATACAATAGATATTAAGGAACTGGGTCAGACGTAATGAGCCTGAATGGCCATTTTTACAAGGAAAAATCCATGTAAGGCTGAAATGTTATTCAGGGGTGACAGGTTGAATAAATAGGTCGTGGCTAATTGTAGTCATTTATGGTCCACGTGAGAGTAGTTTACTGACTTGTTTTCAGGAAATTCTGCATAGGGAAGTAAGTTTGTTATGCAGGTCATCAAAATGTTTGTTACAAAAATGCAGACGTGTCGTTATTTTAATGAAAGAAGTAAAGGAGCTACAAACGGCCATGCGAATGACGAATCAATCTTCGACACAATCGAAACCATCTCAGTATCGCACACGCAACATGAGACTGTAGACCATTAAAGCAGCATTTGTTTACTAGAATTCCATTCAAGAAGACAACATTGGGACAGATTTAAGTAAATACAACACGACACACATACACAAAAAGAGACAGGACATGTAAGGCTACGCTCTACATGGCATGTAATGCAGCGTACATTTCGTGCCAATAGTTTGCCATCGTTGAGAAACAAACTTTCATTGAAACACAGTATAATAATAATATACTCGACAATACACGAGCAAATAATGGATTGTTACTGCATCACTGTCCTCACTCGCATAATTGGGCGAGATCAAATAGATTTTAATCGATAAATTGTACTTTGAATATTGGATAAAGTGAGCCTAATATACAACTTTTACAACGAGCGGCCCTCAACAGCATTTTACACGTAGATATGTTCAAACAAAAGTGATCTCAAGATTCGCTTTTGATTCCGGTATGTCATTTCTTTAGCAGATGTAGCGTGCACAGGCATGTTGTAATAAAAGGCGCAACCTTTGTTTTCTTGGCTTCTACTTTGGACTTGTAGCAGAACTCCAACAGGGCCGCCATCATGGCCAGGCCCAGACCTCCCACCAGAATGTAGAAAACACCGGCCACGTTGCTGAGACTGAGAGCACTTGTCTCCCCCTGTAAGATAGTGAAGAGCCTTGGTTAAACCCTTTGCTTGTGGAACATGAGTACACATCAGATAAAATCTCAGCAACTACACAAGTAAAAAGACTAGATTACAGGGAGGCCAGACATAAAACTACATTAGGAACATGTAAACATTCCAACCACAAACGTCTGTTCAGCACCAAGGACAGGTGTGTTTGCCTTTGTGTGTGGAAGGTGTTCAGCACCAAGGACAGGTGTGTTTACCTTTGTGTGTGAATGGTGTTCAGCACCAAGGACAGGTGTGTTTGCCTGTGTGTGTGTGTGTGTGTGTGTGTGTGTGTGTGTGTGTGTGTGTGTGTGTGTGTGTGTGTGTGTGTGTTTACCGGTTATGCGAGACAAACAAACAAGCTGGCACTAACTTTGCTGCTGCTCTCAGCGGGCCCGCACTCTCCTTTATCATACCACCATTTAGTCTCCAGCGCCTGTAAGATGCCGTCTTCCCTCAGCTTCAATACAGCAAGGGTGATGTCTTGCCTGTATGGAGATTAATAACATTGGGATGACGCTCTTGTATACAATTGTTCAGCTGCACTCTGAAACCGTTACAGTTGGACAGATGAACCAATACAATTTTACCCCATAAAAAAAAGTTACTCAAGCAACTGGATATGATTTTGGAAACGGTCAGACGTTTCAGGTAGCATCCACTACCATTCACCAGTGACACTAAGAGGCTGCAGGAGAAAATGTAATACAATTGTGTTTCGGGGAATTTATGGTGCTTTTAAAGGCAGTATCGGTTGAGAGCGTTTTACTGCAGGCAACCTACCGTCTGTGACATGCCTCTCGTAATGTCGTGGGCACACGGCGTGAATATATAGACCGCTGCTGACAAGAAAACAAGCTTTATCTACTCTAATAAAAGACGACCTCGCCTCGTATCGACCCGACATTAACACCTCTTGACAGGCGCTGGTTACAGATAGCTACTGAGGTATAGACTATGGGTGAGAAAGACAGTTTGTGAGCTAAATTAAGACATTCTGGTCTAAAAATAAGTAGAATTAAGACATTCTAGACTAAAAATAGGTAAATATACACCGGGCAGCAGCTCATAGTTGATGAGCTGTTAGATTTACCCGGATACACCTTTTCTGCGTGGCTGGTTGGGAAGCTGGACGATCACATGTCGGAGACTGTGGATGGACGGATGGATTGATGGACGGACAGACAGACGGATGGACGGATGGATGGATGGATGGATGGACGGATGGACGGACAGACGGACGGATGGACGGATGGATGGATGGACGGACGGACAGTAGGATGTAAAGGTGTATGAATGGTGGTCAGACAGACGGACAGATGAACGGACAGATGGACCGACCGACGGACGAACGGACGGATGGATGGACGTACGGATGTATGGACGGACGGATGAATGAATGGATGAATGTAAAAGTGGATAAATGAATAGTCAGACATACGAATGTATGGACGGATAAATGATTAGTCAGACGGACATGTATGGATGGATGAATGGATGAATGGACGGACGGACGGATGGATGGACGGATTGACGGACGGATGGATGGACGGACGGACGGATGGACAGACGGATGTAAAGGTGTATGAATGGTGGCGAGACAGACAGACGGACGAATGGACGAACGGACAGACGGACGAATAGGTGGACGGACGGATTGATGGATGGACGAACGTACGAATGGATGGATGAATGGACGGATGAATGTATGGATGGATGTAAAAGTGGATAAATGAATAGTCAGACAAATAGACGGATGGATAGATGGACGGTATTACTTCAATTCTACATCATATATGTATTTAATTGTTTTCAGAGCCACTACCGCACTGACTAAAATAAGCTGACAGGGAAGCAAACGACAGAGAATTTTTACCTTCTTGATGAGTTCTTCGGCATGCCGATGCCGTAGCCTTTAGAATCCAGGTTTGATCCGGCTTTCATGGTGTCACAGGGTTTGCGCTGTTCGACGTACTCATTCTGCGCCGACTCCAGCATGAAAGCGTACTTTCCCTTGGAGCTGCGCACCTTGGCGATGCCTTCGCTATTGGAGTCCACCATTGGACTGGGGTTTGCGTTACTCATGTAGGTCCACATTTTCATGTACACTGGGATTGTCGCGGCCTAGAAAAGTAACATTTGCAAAGCAAATGCATAATGTTTACCTTCGGATATGGTCTGCCCTGTTAATTCTTACTCAAACACATTCACATACATGTATATCAATGGTGACAGGAGCCTAAATGCCTTCTCTGAAATTGCAACATGATGTAACCCAACACCAGTTACTATGGTGACAGACGTCAACAAAAGAGGCCATTGGCCAGGTCAGAGGTTAGTGTTTGTTACATTTCATGCTATAGATTAAATTAAATTTCATTCTAGAAGGTAATAACCCTTACTGTGTACAAATAGGTAAATATATCAAAGACTATTTAGACCTTAGAACAAGTAGCAACAAGTTGATTCGTCTATTGTCTTGATCTTACCCAACAGCCTCTGCTTGGAGAGTAGAATACTTGAGTAAAAAGACTCTTTTTACATAACCAGCAGCGAAAGCATCTATATCAGTGACACGTGTGCTGTAGTGCAATGTGAACCAGTGAGAATTGCCCTGAGGAAGGTGACAGACGGTCACTGAAACGTCGCCTGTGAATAAAACAATTGGCTGTGCAAAAAGAGTCTCTTTACTCAGTTACTTTACTCGACCTGATGAAACTATTCAAGGAGAAGAATGCTTACTTTAAAGAAGGACTCGGTTGACCCGGATCTGACGGTTCCGTACGCGATTTCAGTCTGTTTGGCGAGGTCATCAGCAGACTCGATGGGGGTGACCATACGTTCCACCGTCAGGAACGCGGCCAGGTTGGCGGTGTAAGAGGAGATTATGATCAGGGTGAAAAACCACCAGGCGCCGCCCACGATTCTTCCGGAGACTGATCTAAAAAAATGATAGCAGACAAAAATACAGTCGACAGTTTTAGTAAGAAAATCAGCCTCGCAGTACGAGGTACATGTACAACAAGCACAATTGCACTGATTTGTACAATTACAAGAATTAAGTGTACTGAAGCGATGAATGGTCACTATAAACACATGAACTACAGTACCAACCTTGGCGAGATATCGCAGCCTTGCTGCATGAAGGCGCCCAGTGAGAACCACAGGCTGTTCCATATGCCGAAATCGTTGGTCTGCTCCTCTTCCATGGATCCACCCCCAGCGGAGTCTGCTGTATGCCATTCATATGGACTGAATCGACTCACGAGAAATAGAACTACGCTAACGCCTATGTAGGCAAACAAAATACACATCCAGATTTCGTACGCCAGCGGATCTAGAAAGGAAAAGACCCCAGGCTTGGATTTTTGTGGCTTCTTGATCATGATGCTGATGCCAACACTCATGTAGGGTTTCGAAAATTCGATGACTTGTTCTCGCAACAAAGTGATTGTGAGTGGGGCCACAGCGAGATCGGCTTTCTGTAATAAAATACAGAAAGACGCTTAATTTACTTCAAGTAAATCATACAAAACATGCAAGAAAGCTGACATATGAATATAGACTAGAAGGTAACCGTTGCAAAGTAAATGCATTCACATGGTCTAGCCTAACAAACTACAGTAACTGTTCTGTTTATTCTTACTTAAACACATTCATATGTGGTGACCGTCCTCTCGAACTCCTGAAACATAATGTAACCCAACACCACGTACAGGCTGTCTGATACAGCACCAGTTACCATGGCGACAGACGTCTGGTTCAGGTCATTGACTTTTTGTGTTTGCAGAAGAAGAAGATACAGAACAAAAACAAAATGTTTTCTTTCTGCGAAGGTAAACAAAATTAAGAGTACAAGAGAGAGAGGGAAAAAGAGAGGGAGAGAGAGGGAGAGAGAGAGAGAGAGAGGAGAGAGAGAGAAGGGGAGAGAGAGGGAGAGAGAGAAGGGGAGAAAGAGAGGGATACAGGGGATTGTCTTTACATCATGAAAGCCGTATATAAGCTTCTTCTGGTCTTGTGAATCTGGTGTTCTTACCCCGGATATCAGCTCACCAACCATGCCATTCCACGTGCCGTTCTCGTCCGGCGCTCCGTACTTCTTGTCCGCCACCTGGTGTATTGTGAAGTTGAAGCCGACAATGCCTGCCACCTTGTTCAACATGTCCACGCAGTATCCCTCGTACTGGCAGTTGTTGTCCTTTTCGGGATCACACTTCTCTTTTTCTAAATCTTCTAAGCTTTTTTTCATCAGAAACGGCGGCTCCTGTGCAACATCAATTTCAATTGGAAGGGTTTACATATGAATTTATTGCACAACAATTGTACAGGGTACAAAGTATGGCATCTACTAGTACATATTAACTACACTTAACATAATGTGATAATGTTTATATACATATATTTCTTCGTTATGGGCCACATAAAAATCAATCAGCTGATAGAAAAATGAGATATCTCTACAGAGCAGAAAATGTTTTCTTTCTTTCAAGGTAAACAAAATCAAATCAAATCAACTTTATTGCTCAACAACAGTAGCTGGTACAATGTATGGCAAAGAAACAACAGGGGTACATACACAAACAAATAAATGATTAAGATTACTAGTGAGAGAGAGGGAGTTGTTTTTTTTTTGCTGACTTACCAATATCGACGTGACTCTGACCAGGCCTTCGCTCCGGTTGACCTTGACTGAAGGGCGGCCGATGTCGCTCAAGGTTATCTTTCTCCACTCGGCCACCTTTTGTAACAAAATCATCCAAATTCGATCAACCGGTACATCTCACACGTCAGTCAATATTTCTCACAACACGATTTTATTGTCATTTGATGTCGATTGGTGAATGCGCTTCGTGGCCTTTACGGCACAAGACGTTGATCTAAAATACACGCTCTTACCCTTAACAAAATTTCATAGTTTCCCTCAGTAATTTTATAAGGCAACACTGATTTTACCGTGATGCTAAAAATGCACTGAATTTTATGAAAACAATTATGAGGGTCTCAAATGCACCCTTAAAGGCCGTATCACAGCTGGCCAAAGGTCAATTGTCTCTGGTTTATTATTATCAGACAGACACTATATATATTAACTGGATCGCAATGACATACCTTAGTAAGATAACCCCCTGGTCTCCGCAGTTCCATGACTTGGATGGAGTAGTTGATACGCCGCCCAAAGCCGTCAAACTGTATGTTACCCGTCAAGCCACTTTGTATGTTTACCTACAATTATCAAATCACAATAGCATCTTAGAAAAAATTAACTTCACAATTCTAAGAACCGTATTGAGTAAAGAGACTCTTTTTACACAACCAACTTTGAAGTCTTTTATTCTGCCGAAGTTTCAGTGACCGTCTGTCACACCTTTCTCCGGGCAATTCTGACTGGTTCACATTGCATTGCACTGCAGCACAGGTGTCGTTGCTACAGATGCATTCCCAAATGTACAATATTTACATAAAACCTACACATATGCGTGAAACGTCGGCTGAATAAAAGACTTGGTTGTGTAAAAAGAGTCCCTTTACTCAGTGTCTTACCAATTAACATAATGAAACTATTCATGGAAGAACCATATTGTATTGGCTGAATTTTGTGTCTAATGTATCACATTATGAATGAATGGTAGTACTATTCCGGGTACAGGTTACCTGTGATAGATATTTCCTGATCTGTGCACCATAGTTTGATGGTCTGAAGTTGTCGCATGTAGGTGAGTTTTTCAGACTTAAGTCCTCGCCCGAGTACTGCATCTTCCAAAAGGCGTTGGAAATAACTCGGACTGCATCGAAGACGAGAGATGCCTTGTACTGTAAGAGGACATGGATTTTGTTAAAACCACACTCAAGCTAAGAATGCAAAACATCGTATATTACTATATGTTTAATAATTCTAGATCAAAGCATTGGCTCCAAATAGACCACACTAATTGCTAGTTTTTTCCTGGTCAATTATACGTTTAGTAGAGTAGAAGTGGGTATTTTCTTTCTCATAATACAATGGATTTTTTCCCCAGTTCCTACCTATCTAATATATTTGTCAAGTTTAACTAACATTCTATCAACGTAAAATGACACATTTGAGAATATTCCAGAATAGGATGATATAACTGGAAACCATATATCATGACATGCACTGATTTAAACATTAAGCACCTACAGACAAAGGAAAGATCACGCTATTAGCTCTTCAGTGGCATGACGATATATTTCACAGTTACAATCACGGGAATATTCCCACCATTAGTCGCTTATTACAGTGTACCTGACCCTTATGTAGTGCTCTAGGTAAGAAAAATGCATCAGTGAAAACAGTGATGGATCAGATGCATTTGCCCTATCAACAGCGCCAACCTCCAGTAACTGCTTTTGCCGTCCCATGAGAACTCTATAAGCGACAGAGAAACATGGCGAGGGCCTGCGACCCTTGTTTTATGTTTCACAAAAACGTTGAGGAAACTTTGTGAAAGTGTTGCGCTCACAGTGCATAGCAATCAGGTTGAAAATCAATCAGAATCATTTCTAAAGGATTTCTGTAAGTCCCCGGTTTTACATGTAAGCTGTGCAACAACGAGTGCACTAATGAACTTTGTAGTCTGGCGGCATTAGGTTTTATGTGACAGCACGTCGTGTGGGAAATACAACTGAAGTCAAAATTCATAGAGGGGAGCAAAGGGACAACCAGGAACTTAGCACATAGGCAGGCAAACTTCCCGTGATGGCTTTCGTACGCGTGATGGTGATGATGTGTTCTTCCGAAGTTCTTTTTGTAATTTGATGATCAAAAACCATGACGAGAAGACCAGCAAACACCTTAGTTTATAAGGCATACCACCAGGACTTCCAAAACCCTAGACCCCGGAGAAGACCACCCAAGAGGTGGAAAGACCAGATTCAGAGTGACAAAGGGCTTACCCTAAGGGAAGCAGAGACTATTGCCCTTGATAGAGCTGGCTGGAACAACCTGACGGAGGGGAGCAAGCGGCCAGTACCCGGCCTGTGCATATATAGGCAGGTGGGCAGGATCAAAAACGCCATTGGTATTCTAGAGATTGTCAGATCCCGACACAGTTCAATCACAGCATCCGACGTTTCCTTCATTAAAACGGATTCTTATTTAATGTTTTTGAAGCCGTAGGGATCACATAGGTTCACTGCGCGCTTTCGGCCTCGTGAGATTGCCTCTTTGCTGGGATTAAGTTAAGTTGGTTGAAAATTAAGGTTCTAGTTTTAGAATTTGATCAAAGAGTAAGACATTATAGCGAGCTAAATATAACCATTGTAAAGTTGCAAATAAGTGTACTAAGCCATGTCCATCAAATCCAAATTGCGATCAAAGTCGATTCCTAATTCGTGTACGCCCTTTGTAATAAACCGGTGCAATAGCTCAATTGGTAGAGTGCTCGCTTTGTAACCGGGAGGTCGTGAGTTCAAACCCCGGCCGGGGCAGACCAAAGACTTTAAAAATGGTACACACTTCTTTCTCTGCTTAGCACTCAGCACATGAGAAAGAGTGTGGGAAGGTCAAACACACAGCACTACCAGCGGATTAGCCCCCTGCTGTAGTGCCTTGCACAACTGTGTGTCTCCCAAGTGATACAGAAATGAAGATGGGCACCACCCTACGCTCTGCATAAGAGCAGGGAAGACCTTCTTCCTTCTTCTTTTGTATAATATATATTTCATGGTTTTATGCTTATTATTCACCATGCAAATACGGTGCAGTCCTAAAGTTGTGAGTAGTTCCACCGGGCTCTAAGTGTGCTGTAAGGTTCGTGGTTAATTAGATGTGACCGCCAAATGTTGTCTTATTAATTGGACGGCGCTGTTGAAGTGCCTTCAATTACAGGATGTCACGAGATTCCACTCATCTGCAGCCAGAGCGGATCTCATGCCGCGCTGATGTGACACTGTTGTGTCACCCGGGACTTCACGGGAGGGATATTAGCTGCAGATTCACGCTGCTGATGTACAGGTATGAGATGTGCTGCAGGGAATAACATTCACTCACTCACTCACTCGCTCGTTATGAAAGAAACTTCAGACAGACGGCACTTCCAGGCAGATTACACTGGCCCAACCGTGCCGATATATATGGCATTTATACCTTTTTGGACTATGTTCAGTAGCTGTTGCCGTATATTGTACATTGTGCAATGTACAGGTATGAGATGTGCTGCAGGGAATAACATTCACTCACTCACTCGCTCGTTGTGAAAGAAACTTCAGACAGACGGCACTTCCAGGCAGATTACAATGGCCCAACCGTGCCGATATATAGAATTCATACCTTTTTGGACTATGTTCAGTAGCTGTTGCCGTATATTGTACATTGTACAATGTACAGGTATGAGATATGCTGCAGGGAATAACATCCACTCACTCATTATCTCGTTGTGAAAGAAACTTCAGACAGACGGCACTTCCAGGCAGATTACACTGGCCCAACCGTGCCGGTATATAGAATTCATACCTTTCTGGACTATGTTCAGTAGCTGTTGTCATATATTGTACATTGTACAATGTACAGGTATGAGATATGCTGCAGGGAATAACATTCACTCACTCACTCACTCACTCACTCACTCACTCACTCACTCACTCACTCACTCACTCACTCACTCACTCACTCTCTTGTGAAAGTAACTTCAGTCAGACGGTACTGGGTCATGATGGCAGATCAAACGAGCTGACATATGAAATTCATTTTTGTACTATGTTCTATAGTTGTTGCTATACATTGTACCTTGTCAACTGTCGTGCAATAAAGTTCTTCTTATAAGATCAATAGGATTAAATGCAAATAATTTAAAGGTCAACCACGTGAATCGTATTATTATTCAATCGTAGATAGCGGAATCTGTGTAATGATGTTTGTGAAGCATTTTTGCTCTCATGCGGCAGTTTCCCTCACGTTAACTTGAGGCTACATCACACGCTCTAAAGGTTATTACATAAACTTCAGAGAAAACGACAAGATAATTCACATAGCTGTCATTTGCAATCGATGGTGATGGCCATAATGAGGATGGAAAAGTAGGTCATATGGATTTTGTTACATCACCGATGAAAATCTTTCTGGAAAGCATGAGATTGTACCCCAGTACCCAAGTATAACAGTATATGAGCTGTAGGACAGGTGCATAACTGGCACACTGAGGGAAGCAGGTACTCACTAAAAGAGAAGACATTCTCATCTGTAAATACTCATGAACAGCACACGTACACTAGATCGTTATGGCCAGGGTGCCTCACAAGCAGACAAAGCTCTAAAAGTAATTACAGGTTATATCGCCTACTTGAGGATCGATGCAGTATGGTGGAAGCACACACCAACAGACGCTTCTGGCTCAAGTGACATCACCGAACTTTTTTATGTATGGTTTGGACAGATTTTAGACAAGCCCAAAGCTTAGTCGGTAAACCTACGTGCTTTACAAGGATGGCTAGATGTAGCCATGCCATGATGGATTATATAAATGAATTGATGCCCAGAGCGAACATTAATTTTTATGTTTGAAGACAGAAATGGTGACCCCACAAAGATTAAAGATGTTGAGATTATGTTACTGGATACATATTTGATGTTGTGAGCAGGTCTATCCAAAGACCGTATAGAATCTACGTACCTCCTTACTAAGTGCACTTAAAACTAGACCACTCCCCACTGGTCAGTAGAAAACAGATACCAACACGACTTGGGATAAAGTGGATCGTGAGGCATTTGTCTTTCTGACAGGAAAATCCATACGAAGATGGTGGGTATTGATATCTACCCATTTATTTCGGACAGATGACATCCATGGATTGACAGACTGGCCTCAGGTCAAGGTAGTATTAAATCAAGTAAGGCTTCAAATGTTGGGAAGCAAATGTCATTTCGGATGCTGATCCTATGGATGTTCATACTGATACACAGACTTTAGGCAGAAATTACGATTTTGCGATATTAATATCTAGTCCAGGAGCCTATAGCTATTGGTTGTATGTCTGAGGGGAAATCGTACAGTTTTGGGTCAACTGTTGGGTTTGAAACGGCTAAATGTGATGCCGCAAATGGTAAACACAATAGAAACTGAATCACAGCCTCCTTATACGTGCATGTGGCCAGGTGCTAGGATCCGCAGCACTCGCGTACATAATCTGCCATTCCAATAAATACTTCTATGATTTAAAGAATAAGGTTGCAGGTAGTTTGCTGACTGTTTATTTTCGTTCAAATCTCTTCATTAAAAATGTAAAAATTAAGGGGTTTACTTTATGGCATGTGCCTCTAAAACGTCGTGGAATGTTTGCAACCCCCGTAGTCATCTTCACTGCCGTGTTTCATTTGATATCGCCACCGGCGATACACGGGAAGATTCTTTTATCTTCATCATTATTGATGTCTTATGCTTCAGAGAGGATAGTTTTCATGCTCTCGGGAAATACTAGTGTTTTATGGCTATAACCGACTTCGTAAAAATATTTCATGTTTCCTTGTCCATGAAATTTTATGATATATGTAATATATTCAAGTTGGCTGGTGGTAGACCAACATGAATATATTTTTGATAGTTCCTCTCTGTAGCATCTCTGTGTAACACTGTGTATCACTCCGCGATGTGAACTATGCGCTACTATTACAATAAACATCTTGGAGACGGCTCTAAAGCAGCTTCTGTGCTGTTAACTATATTAAATAGGCATCAAAGCACAATATATCACAACATAATTACAGAAAAATGAAACACGTGGGGGCGTGTGGCGTTGCGTCATAGTGCTCGACTCGGAACCAAAAGGTCACGGGTTCGAGTCCTGACATGCCACCGATCTTGTGCCCTTGGGAAAGGCACTTTGCACGATTTTCCTCACTTCGCTCATTTGAAAATGAGTATTGTATTGTCCCCTGTGTTGGTGGCGGCATTAATATAAGTTGAAAAAACTTGAGTGTGCCATTGGAATATAAAAAAATAAAAATAAAAGAATGAACTTACTCCCATCATCTCCTTGCCGGCCCCCGGGTACGTGTTGGGGTCCAGACCCTGCCAGCTCGCCAGGACGTCCCGCACCGTGCCGTTGGACGGGTCCACGAGCTGGAAACTGGTGATGTTCGCTTGTCCGTAGGACAGGATGTCACGGTTCATGATTGAGAAGTCCTATATAAAATAAAATAAAATTAAATCAAATCAACTTTATTGGTCAACAGCTGTAACTGGTACGATGCATGGCTAGGAACAAACAACACGAGTAGATACATGAACTAATACTAAAATATAATTCTAACGGAGCTAGTCCATAATGATACTAACGCTAATCTATTGTGTTTTCTTAAGGAGAGCTATATATTGCGTGAAAGATGTATTCGTCATATTGTACAGAACAATTCTTGTGAACAGTATTAACTATGTAGTGCTACATTCATGATAAATATCTTTGAGTTTCTGTTCCCGAAAGACAGGGAAGTTTTATCAATAGGGTTCAACGTTTACCAAGGCCACACATATATGCATTTATGAAATCGTAACTGATAGACAGGAACTACGGATATTGCTGTATTGTGAATCAATAACGTCAAAAGAACTCAGCCAACTTCAGCCATATTTGATACAGATCGGACATACCGGATTCATGATGACGTAATGCCATGGTGACGTCAACATCTGCTGAAATGTGATCTGAAAATAAACACAGATATAGAATTGTTAGAATTGTAGTAAACGCAAATATGTTTGTAACGCATATAATCGATTAGGTGTAACGATATACCGGTGCAATAACTCTCCCTTTGTAACCGGGAGGTCGTGAGTTCAAACCCCGGCCGGGTCATACCAAAGACTTTAAAAATGGTACACACTTCTTTCTCTGCTTAGCACTCAGCACATATGAGAAAGAGTGTGGGAAGGTCAAACACACACCACTACCAGCGGACCAGCCCCCTGCTGTAGTGCATTGCAAAACTGTGTGTCGCCCAAGGGCTACGGAAATGGATATGGGCACCACCCTACGCTCTGCATAAGGGCAAGGGAGACCTTTCTTTTCTTTCTTTGTAACGGAGAGATATTCTTCTGAGTTTTACAGTTGTTGAGGTGAATGTGCTGACCAGGAATGTGACGCTGGTTTGAATTTTGACAGGTCCCAGTTTCCTGAACCATCGAATGACAATATAAATGAGATTACGTAAAACGCCTCAACGATGACTCACTTTTGACTAATCTTATCACTGATAGATAACACGAAACAGACGCTTTCGTACTATAATCTTCAGTTTCCCCACGGAGTAAAAACCCTACAAAATATTCGTGAAGCGTAGGATAAAAAGCATTTGGGGAGATCTATTTACGATAAGGGAGTGCACCATATGCGATGAGTGGTCATACATTAAGGTTGGCATTTTCAGAAACAGAAAGATGTGTGATCAGATATTTTGGCGGCGTTTAGTCAGTAATAAAATGTAGTGTCCGCTGTGCATCGCTCCATTTGTTCAGCTGGGGAAAGGTGTTATTGTAAAGAATTCTTCCAAAACGCAAATGTTAAGGACATTACAAAAATGTCAGATGACAATACTTGTGGCATTTTTAGAATGCCAAACGCTGTAACATACCAAGCGAGGAAATGTCATCATCATCATCATCATTACGGAAGTCAAGCAACGTACGTCATTGGTTGTCTGCCGTGATTTCTTTTCATGTTCTTTTCTTTACTTTACTTTCTTACTCAACAGTAAATACTAGATATTTACCGTTGAAGGGGTTTCATCAGTCACGTAAAATCAACAGTTAGTAGAATATTCTTCAATCAGTAACTATTTTAAAAGGTAGAAACACGTACCTCCAAATTTTCTATGTCGACTGTACATCTTGATCACGTGTTCTCGCGAGACTAGGTCACTCCGTGATCAAGATGTACAGTCGAAAAATTTGGAGGTACGTGTTTCTACCTTTCAAAAACAGTCACTGATTAAAGAATATTCTATCAACTAGATGTTTACCATTTTTAAAACAGCCTCTGTAGATGGTCTGTCGAGATCTATGATGATGTTCCTCTCTCCCGTTGAGTTGTTCATGTCCGTGAGCGTGGCCACCGTGTTGTTCGGTCCTCCCAACTTCCTGACTTTCACCTTTACCTTCTCTGCTCTGGCGTAGTTCAGCATCTGTTGGAGAGACGCCAGGCCTGATGGGGAGGGAGGGAAGGTAAATGTTCCTGATCTTGTCACTCACCGTACTACAAACGGCTAATTTACCCCATATGTGCACGCCCTTATGCTGCCGTATGCCCGTATTAAAGCCTTCTTCGTTTTGTCACAGATGTGCAAGATATGGTACTGAAAATCTAGCATTATATAATATCTAATATAGCATATTATAGCAACGTAATAACTACTTCCTGTGTGCTAAATATAGTTTCGATGAAAAAAACAAATTAAATGTACGAAGATTGTGTGTAACGAGTCGCTCTGTGTGATATAGCTAGTTGCCGCCGCGCCGCGTGCCTGTGAAGCTGGTGTGTTACGCCGAAGGGCGGTTATACCGGCTATACAGATACAGATACAGATACAGAAATTAAATGTTAAAGGAGCCTTTCGAAAATGAATGAAGATTTTGATGACAATCTGGTAGGCAAGCACATACACATAGGCAAAAATCATACTCATTTTAGATAATCATTTTGTCTGTTATAATTTGTTTTCAAGCTGTAATTTTCCGAAGCCCATTCTCTTGTAGCTTGATCGATCCGAACATCGATGTCATTACCTAAACTACTTTTTGTTAAGTCGTCAGAAACAAATTACATCAACCATGTGATCGATGCACACGATAGTTACGCAAGTCAGTCGATGTAGATGTAATAGCAGTAAGTGCTCAGTGTAAGCTAACGAAGCGAATATGATTCTCCATGTGAAACATTTTCTTTCTTAAGGTTTAGTGAAGTAGACAGCTGTAGACGCGTGGTCGTGAATACAGATGTGTGGCCTGCAACTGGGTGATCGCTACGGATGGTTGCAGACTGTAGCAACGATTATCAATACAACTGTGGCCGTTTTTGTCGTTTCACTTAAAACATATAGTTTGGGGCAGATTATCTGGTTTTCACGCTTCAGCAGAAAATGATCGCAGCAGAGTGTGGTGCATTCGTGCATTGACAAATTGTCGTATCATCAGTAATACTCGTCCCGTAACATGAAGTAACGGTTTGTTTTGAGTTATGAGACAACGGTTTATCCAGGTATTCAATCAAATTGTCACCATCAAAACCCAGAACATCGCAGGCAAAGGCTTCTGACTGATATTTGACGCAATGCGTCATTGAGGCACCCATTTATGTTTCAGCGATCCTGCCTCTGAACCAAGAGGTTTGGAGTTCGAATCCTGACTGTTGCCACTCATCCAACATACACGCTACTGGAAAAGGCCTCTTCATTGTACTTGTCGAAGACAGCTAGGGTATTTTCTCTGGTACAGTGGACCTGTAAATACACTGTGCATAGGAGTCTCTGTCACAAACAGTGGAAGAGTGGATATTCATTGAGCTAAATTCGATCGAGTTATCCACGCAAAAGATGCCTTGCTATAGGACGATCAAGTCTCTCCCCTGTCTATATAGTAGAAGGGATTCATTCCTTAAGCTAACTGACATCTCGCACACACAGTCGTCCCTCAGTAAGACATCTGGAGCCACATAGTTCCCGTTTAGAACTTTTATTCAGCCTGTCATACGATCAGTTTCGCCTGTGTGGCTTCTTCAAGTGCACAGAGGCTAATGACACAAGTGCATGAAGTTCTCACTTATATAAGTCTCTCCCCTGATCTGTCACATCCACTGACGAACACCAGAAGAGGGAATGACGCCATCCCGGCGACGTTCACAATACGTCATGCTACAGCTATTGCCATGCCTCGCGCCGCTTCCCCCGTCTTCTGCTCCGCCAAGCGACTCAAAGTTAATCAAATTTGGGCGCTAAGCTCACAGGTAATCACAGTCCGTGAATGATCTATCGTAGGGTGCAGAGTGGGTTTAATGGGGAAATGTAATTATAATGATGTCCGCCATGGTTAATGGAACGTCTTCGCTCCTCCAGAAAATGCACAGATGGCGCTACGGAATTTGAAAACAATTGGAATGTTTGAAACAACTTTGAAACAATATACAGAATATATATTTCTTCGTTACTGATGAGATAGCAGCGACAACTGAAAACGATCGGCTACGACTTTTCTTTGAGGGAAGGGGTTATACGTCACAGTCTGAATTCAGACAAAATCAAATCAAAGTTGTTTTTTTCACAACAATTGTCACAGGTACAATGTATGGCAAGTTCTTCAGAGGTGCAACATATTAAAATGATCATCTATCTAAAGCTTAGGTAGGTATCCTAGGTAAACTTTTCAGTGCAACACAGGCGTTTACAGGCAGCTGGCTGGACCAGTGTCTTGTCAGGCGAATGGGTTCAACTAGGTAAGCACAATGTCTACAACAGCGCGTGAAACATTATAAGTGGTAAATACATCGCCATATATAAAAGCTTTTAAAACTTTTCAATGCAATTCAGGCGTTTACAGGCAGCTGGCTGGATCGGTTCCCAATTTTGCGGCAATACCACCGACCGTGCATACTATTAGATCTTCCGGTAACATGTGGTGTCCGGTAACTTCATTAAAGGTCCAAAGCAAGAATGCCCTCTGCCTTCCCTGGAGATGAACCGCGTTATTTCATTTAGAGGATCCAGCTGCTCCATCTTACTCTAGGTCAAAGACACGCCGGACCGTGTGTCCAGGTAAACGCCTACTGTGTGCCAATAGGAAAGGATGGATTTTTTTAATTCAGAAACACAGTGATGAATACAAATAAAAAGATATGGACTAAGTGACTGCGAACTCAAGTTAGGTACAACTCATATTCTCGCAGCCACTTTTACAATGGAAAAAAGGCGTTTACAAGACGTTTAAAAAACTATGGATAGCATGAGTCAAACCTCCCATCCCATCCCAGAAGAAAAGAGAAGAGAAGAGAAGAGAAGGGAAGCATAGCAGGACACATACAACTAGATAGATTTATTTATCTGCATTTGCAGATAATATCTCAACTGGCCCTAGGGAATATGATCTTCTTCCCAATTGGCACTTTAAAGAATTCATGTTTGGCCGTCTGGTGGTAATTAAGTGCAGTGCAGTATTTATGTAGTTTTTACCACACTTGTACCCAAAAGGTACTCAAACTATAGGTAGACCTATCCCAAAGCAAGTCAAAAGCAAAGAAGCCGTGGTACCACTCATCATATATCTCAACATATATATGTCTAGACAGTTTAGTTTCTTTCACTAATAAAACAGATCTCTTCTAGCAACAGGGAGAAATTGAGGAACTCGCATCTGCCTGTGCAGCAGCCAACCGAGACAGCTTCAGCACTTTCTTAAATATTTCTTTCCCAAACGCAGACCTGTTGCACTCATTTTCGGCTGAGACTCTGACAGCAAATTTCATTACCGCAGAAAATACACATCTATACGCGAAGAAGTTAGTGATAGGAGTCGGGAGAATGCCAGCCCTGAAGGTTGATGGATAGTCTCGAGGAACATGTCCCAGTAAGCAGTATCTTTTAATAAACTCTAAGCCATCCCTATACATCCCTTATCTCTTAACCATATGGCAGGTAATTTACTGCAACCCCGGGCTCTGCCTCTTACGGTTATCGCACGGTACAATGTGATGTCGTCCCCTGCAGGCCATCTGAAGTAGGTCACAACTACTGGGAGGTGGTCGAAAAAGTAATCTTCGATTTAAATTGACTTAGTGGAAAACTTAGGGTAACTTTCGTCAAACGCATCTAACTTGTCCATGTTTAAATCCTTTTAGATAATATCCTAAGGCGCCATTTCAAAAAGAAAGACTCCCCGCCGACAGCTATTCTCCAATCGTAAACCTCCTTACTGACATCATGTCGTTAGGAATTAGGTCGAGAGGAATTTCCCAGAACACTATAAGAAGATTACAAACATAAATCAGCCAGCGATTGTTCATGGGCCACAGTACATCTAGAATACTTTAAAGTTTTGAAGTGCAATGTTAACTCGTTACTTAAGTAGTATGGGCGACAATGAGCAAAGTATACTTTTATGGTGTGCAAGTCTGCAGACCACTTGCAATTAACTCTTCAGCAATATCTGACCAAAGGCATCTAATGGATAGACCTTGAACCACTGGCAGCAATTCTAAAACGTACTAGATAATGCAGGTATGAGGTTGACCACATAACCGACCTTACTTTGCGGCATAAAGCTTTAAAGGTATGTCCAAAAGGCAATCATCTGCCCGTTTGAAAAGTACTACAGTTACACAAAATGTGCGCTCAGTGTGTGCCTGACATTAGCGTGAAACGACTTTTTAGCAAAGATATGGCTCAGGTCCGTGAGGTCGAATAACAAAGACATCGCTTTACGCTGCTCAAAGGGCGAGTGAGGTATGAAGGCTTAAGATCAAAAAGATACTTCTTGCTAAGTGCTTCATCATTGGGAGTTCGACTTTAAGGATTAAGGCGAGTAACATCAGTATTGGCTAAGTGCGGGAAGTCAATCTACTCTCGGCTGCATGAGCTCGGCCTTTGCCCTGACAAGTCTATAAGGAAATTTCGGGGTGCGATGGAGTGTTTCAAATTGCAGCAAGCTGCTGATCCCAACAAATCACCAGCGCGACGTTTTGCTGGAAGTACGGCTTCTCTCCCTCCCCGAGGTTACGTTTCCATTACGGTGTAGGATTCCTCTGTGTAATTCGGAGAAAAAGCTATTAACGAGGTATCTTCTCATCTCAGACCATTAGGCGCCATTTCAGAAGACAGATCAAGCCATGTCCTTTTGGGTATCATACAGGGTAATTTTGGAAGGTCGGGAAACAAATTAGCTTGCATGTTAACGTTTAGGTCGGAAAGTTGGGGCGAAATCTATAGCTCTGGGCTGTGTAATGTGGTGCAGTAGGATTACCTGACTGACCCGCGTGGTTAATGTGGTTTTAAAGGTTTACCATGGAGAATAAAGAAGTGCACTTGTATAGAACTGTCCTGGTCGTCGCGGATTTAGCAGAGTTAGCTGGATTTATCGATGTCCTGATCCAGTGAAATGGATATCTTGCTACGATCAATGCCATTAATCAAATCATACTAGGACGACAGGGTGTTGGCCCGTTTGCAATGTGGAAAGAAAGTGTGCATCGCAAATATGGTGCTAACGATTCTATACGCACGAGTTTCGCAAAGGAAGACAACCACTGGACTGTACAACCAACCAAACATTACAAACTCCGGACACTATCGTAATAAACTCTGGGCACCAAATTCGTATCCTTGTATTATGTACGTATGTGTGCGTGTATTTATGTATGTATGTATGTAACGTTATGTATGAATAATTTTCAGTACCATATTATGTTCCTTTGCATATGTATGGCATGTCTATGCCTTTACTTGAGGCAAGGACGTTACATGTATATCCTCATTTCATGCGACTACATGTACAGTTAACATCGTTCTGTCATGCAATATACAGCAATGTGTACATCAAGGTTGAAATGGAAAGACCACAACAGAAAGCTAACAGAAGATGATGTATTTCAAAATTTTATGAATCTATTTGAAACTTATAATTATCATGCTGTGTGAGCTGGAGACCTATTAACACATTTAGTTCATGTTCCTGTATGTTACTTGATTGTAAAGCTCTTAGCTGTCTAAGAGAATAAAGTTGAAAAAAAAACATCGCTCTGTCAATATGACCTACCTTCGGCGTCGTCGTACAGGTATGTGAACATCCTCCACTTGTATCGTTTGCGGATGACGTCATAGACGGCGGGAACGATGTTGGGCCTGATGCTGAGGACGAAGCCGGTGGTGTTGGGCAGGGCCGGGTAGCTGGTGGTCACGTAGGGTACCTGTGGGATATATGCGCCGACCTGTTTCAACTGCATTTAAATATGTTTTACAGATGCATTGCTATTTCTGTGTAATTTGCTCTATATGAACCCGTTATTATGTACTAGAAAGGTAACATTGCACATTGTTTACCTTCGCATACTTTTGCCTTTACAGAGTGGAGGAACGGAGCGGAGACACAGCGTTCACGGATGGATTCCAGGCTAGTCTAAATCCCTCCTACTATAAAATTGCAACATTATGTAACCCAACACCAGTTACCATGGTGAGAGACAGTCTGGTTGACCAGGTCAAAGGAACGAATGAAGAAGAGGAAACTGTGCAAAAACAACATGTCTTCCAAACATGATAAATCTGAATGATGACTCACCCTCAGGCTGGTGCAGTAGGACTGCATCGTGTTCATGCAGGACACGTCGTTCATGCCGAAAATGGCGTACACTCCGTCACCGCCTCTGCCGAAACTCGAGCACACTGGAGGGACAAGAAGTTTTAAAAATCCATGAGCAGCAAGAAAAACAACAAACAGAAGTGATGTAGGGACCCCCACGAGGCCCATTTTTAAACTTGTCCTAGGTCTTCGCAACGGTAACCTGCCTGCCAAAAATCATGGACATCGGATCGGACCATGTCTTCAAGACCTATGTCGCATAGTCTACCACGCTATAACAAAATGATTTCATAGCCTTCTGACGAAGGCAAATAGTATTGTGTCAATTATCAAAGGCATCCAATGCAATTTCAAGCAGCAAAACTGGATTTTTAAAGTCAGCTTTCCAGTACCATGGTATGTTTTTTTTTTTAAGTTTAAAATAATAATGTAGGAAGTAGCAAAAATACTACGTGGCAGACAGAAAACAGTTCCTTGTTTTACATCGTAATTAATATATAAGCCGGCTCTATCTAATTTCAAGCATTTTGAAATATTCGCCTAGATAGTGAAGCGAAATATTAGCAAAATCGTCGAACACCAGCCAACTCAGCCGACTTTGCTCCAACCTAACCATGGTTGGTGGGCGTTCGGCTAGTGGTCGGGAGGTTCTCTCATCTATGCTCGGACCGCGATAGTGTTTCCAGGTCAGGCAGTAATTGAACACAGGGTGGTCCAGGCGAAAGGACACCTGGTGCTTTTCCAACCTGGGAATTAAATCATTACAGCGGCCAGAACCTAGCTGGAAGATAGAGAGGCCTGCCATCGCCTTGTAGGTCAAGTGTGATTTACACTTCTACCCTCTGCCCCCTGGGTCCCGTAATTCAGACAATGGGTTGAACTATGAGTTTTTAAACATTCATCTTGTGTGTTGTATGTTTGTTGTAAGCACAATAGAGATTTTAAGTTTCTCTAGTATGTTTCAACATTGTTAAAAAGGATCTACTTTAAATTTGTTCTAAGCACACTAGATACGATTTTCACGTTCTTTAGTATGTTTTCATATTTTAGAGAGGATCTACCTTCTAATTCTGTCTTTGATTCTGTTTATGCATTGATTTCCAGACCACGATTTATGCATATAGGGGAAAAAGAATAATCACACCATGAAATACAACAGTTACTGTTATGGTGATTAATAGAATGTGGTTTGAAAGATTTCCTGAGATAGTAACTCGAATAATGACGGCCAATATCACAGCCGAACACGCGTATAGGTACATGCCTGCACACGATAGCGGCTGTTGACTATGCAGAACGTGGTGATATATTGACCATTGCGGCCAGTAGAGCTGTACACTACATGGACACGGTACATCGATCCGTGTCGTTCGGTGAATTCCTCATCAAGCTCACACTGCCGGGGATATCCCGGACTCTGGCGAGCGGCCAGGTCGGACAATAGGCACTTGCGGTGCTTCAGTGGTCAGTAACACCATTTCGGGTCAGGAGGTCGTGAGAGAGCACCGTAGCCTGATTGTGGTCACAATAGTAGGCGGTGGGGTCTGTAGGGTTACGACCATCAGCTGAAAAGCACTCAGAATCGGTCCAGAGAAAATCCATGAATGTCCTACTTGTTAAAAAAAATTCCTGAACACCTGGTTGTCACCACAAAAGTAGGTAGTGGGGTCTGTAGGGTTACGACCATCAGCTGAAAAGCACTCAGAATCGGTCCAGAGGAAATCCTCATGGTCTCAAGTGCTCAAGGATGTCCTACTTGTTAAACAAAATTCCTGAACACCCCCTCCTCCCGTTACATACAAATAAACTTACATGACCAGAAACATGAAATGTTCAAACGAACATTATTTTGTGAAGCTACTTGTACCAGAATTTCAAGCAACAGGAATCGTATTCTAAAATCTGAGCGCTATTTCTTAACTGAAAGAAGTTCCCATCATCCTGTTCCTCTATTCCGAATTCCTTGATCTACCTCTTTACCTGTAATTGCCACATTCCTACAGTGTTGTCATTTGTAAAGCAAACTTATCCAGGAGCCAGGGAATTCAAAAGTCTACCTGTCATCCACACATTACGTGCAGATAGCGAAAAACAAGACGGAGGCGGAAGCCAGGAAAATCCAGGGGAAATAGCCAGAAGTATAGAACACATATGTATAAATCTTCAAATTCCCAGAGGTGTAAGAAAACGGTAATTAAGTGGGGCCCTGTAAGGAAGAGCGAGAACCTCACGGGCTGGAAATCCATCCCAAATCCGGTAAGCGAGTGGCTGAGGAAGACCCATTAAGGTACAGGCTCCTGGTGGGACCGCGATATCCGGGAACGTTGCACGGCTCTGATAAAGAATCACTGGGAGATGTGAGCTGGAGAGACAGGTACATTTTTCAGAGCACCCCGTGTGGCTAAACATAAGACGAAGAAGGATCTTGCGTACCGGCAACGGAGCTTTGGTAGATACTGAGACAAAACTAGGCAAAAAGGACATGTGCTTCCGCCTCAGGCAGAGCAGTTCACTTTGATGTACGCCGGAAACTCTCTCTACTCTGGGCTCGGTGCCAGTAACGACACTATTCGTGTATCCGGGCTGACCAATTGCAGCTTTATGATCCACATTTAACGACCAATTTGAGCGTTTAGCAAAGCCTTAAATATTGGATATTGGACATAATCTCTTCATATAGCAATATATAGTAACGCGAACATATTGTTACGGACCTCTCCTCATAGTCTGTAAACGACTTTTGCTTCCATTCCAACTGTGATCTACTTCAGCAGCGTACGTACGAATTTCCTCCAACAATGTGTTGGTGAGATCAACGACCCATTTACAAATGTGATTAAAGACCCCTCACTTGTGAATCCTTGCGAGGCGGACAATTTCTCCCAAGACAAAATTACATCCATGCCTCCATTAACACACCATTTCCCAGTGCCATAATTTTCCCGTTCCAACTATTCACCCTGCTATATGTCAAAATGCTGTGTGTCAAAAAAGTCATATTCTTCAGGCAGAACTCATGTAATCTGCGTAAAATGTGAGGTAAAGATCATTCTTGGACTTTCTCGAGCTTCTCCACGTACTCTCGAGTTCCTGAAAGGTGGATCAAACTTTTGCGAGCATTCTGAGGGCTGGATTTGTCAGGGTTCAATGAGTTGTAAACGTTAAACTCTCTACCGAATCTACTGTCCGATTCATGGATGTGTACATGCAAGCAGCAGGGGGTGACTTGACAATGATGAGAGGCCGTAAAAACATATCTCCCGTCCCGGAGGCAACTAGTTAAGTTACGGCAAGATATATATCAATGTAGAGTGTAGTGAGATGCAGTGAGAAGATGCATACGTGTGATTTTCAGGAGCCTATCATTATAATTAGTTGATGTGTACTTGGTGCCGTGGCCGAATACCTATTCTATCATGTTTAAAGTTAAAACGTTTGATCCAACACGAAAAGTTCTATCACTCTGGTCTTCTTTAGTAGACTGACCCAGTGAGGCCTGTCACGTGGCTTCTTTGAAGTGTGACGTCAACACTGGATCAAAGGTATCTGTAGACCATGTCCGCCCCCGTCGCGGTTAAGGTACCTATTCTATCAGTATTATTACTTTGACGGGATACCTCAGAACGTTGGGGAGTCCAATTAAACCCAGCGTTGCCTGTCTTTGGTACGATCTTTTCAAGCCTGCGGACGAAGCGACTTGGGAAACATTGGACGTGACACAACGAACCGGCCGCATCCTTTATTTCACATTCTGGCAGAAAAACCATCAGCTGAGCAATACATTTCCCTGCCCAGAAAGCCATAACGAGAAGCTCGGGCTATTATTCCCCTATGGTGAGATAACGAGCCATGGACTTATATTTTATGACTCCTTCTGTAATGGTGCTATTAACGTTACTAAGATGTCTTAAAGGGTCGTAATTTGCCAGACGCTCTTTAGCAGCCTCGCGTTGGCCTTCATATCTTAATAGCCATGCCGGCAGATGATGCAATCGTCGCTATGAGCTGCAAAGCTGTCAGGACGATTTACGGTTGTTACGTGGTTCAACCAAAACAACGCACGCACGGACGGGCACCAGTACGTCATATGCTGCGGAATTGAAGGTCAATGAGCAAGCAAAGCTTGCAGCTGCAACCTTGAATCTGGCTTTGCAGGCTTTATTCCACCACAAATTCCGACGTGTAAGATGTATGAACAGCCTCGGCAGTAATAGCGAGATCGGCCGATGATTGTGCTCCTGGTGACGAGAAGGTCGGGAATCATTGTCCGTTAATACACCCGCGCTGTCATCCGTACAATGGTTATTTCTCGGCAACAGACATAGATGTAATACGCCAGAGATGGTGTGTTAAGTACGCCCCTATACCCATCCATATCTGCCCCTCCCCCTTCCCAAGGTGATCCCCACTACATGTGTGGAGAAGAAGTTGTTGGATTAATGACACCAGCCGCAGCATACCGCATCATTGAGTGCGGGGTAACGGCGAGGTAACTCTCCCGGGGCTGTCGATATTTCATTTCCTCGCCCAGAGAGGAGATGGTAGGCAGATACCGGCGACTGACGGCGCACAGATAACTCTTTCGTCAGCGTTTCCGCCGCGTGTGCCGCGCATTTGTACACCTTAGCGCTTCGTTATCCATTCATCATTCAACTACTACTGGGAGCCTTCTAATGGGCTGCCAGATTTTACCTGTTATGTAAAATGCCAAAAATGTTGATTCATTACGTTCTAACTCAGACTTATAGCAGAACCTGCGCAGCACAGACTGTAACTCACGTCCGCAGAATGCCAAATGCTACCTTCTATTATCCATGCAATTGTTACGAAGGTGGTTATATGCAAGTCTAAAGGCGCTTAATGAGTGCACGGATCGCCCTTGGACGCATCTCTCATTATCGATATTCGATACACTTAGCGAAATGTCAAGCTTTATATGGAGGCGAAATATCACTTGCGCTCGAGATAAAGAACATCAAAAGCCTTCACGTATCTGTGATGTTTTTTTATGTTAATCCCTTACTATCAGAGCATATCATAATTAGCCCACGACGCTTACATAACCTTAGATCTTCCACAACTA